CCCCAAAACCCCAAAACCCCAAAACCCCGAGATAGCTAAAGAGTATTGAAATAGCTATGAACAAAACTTTCTGACTATATCTGCAAGACTGGTGAACAATTCCAAAACATCATTCTTCGAATAGTTGAAGTTGGTGGAGGCTCTAAGTCCTTTTAAGAGCAGACTCATCAGGTCGTAAGCTCTGGCTGCTTCTTGCTCCGTCGAGTGAGTCGAGATATAGGTTTTATTGCCTAGTATGTCGATGAGAGCCTGCCATCTCACAGTGTTCTTGAACACACCGGTGAAGCGAGACCTTCTATGGCTTCTACCGTTAGATCGAGAGGCAGCAATCTTTGGCTTCCTCCCCACAATCGTTATAAGAGGATCTTCAACAGCTTCTAATTGTTGGTAGAGGAGACTGAGATTGTTCTGGAGGTAAGCAGTCCTGTACTCCAATGATCCTCTGTGCTTTGAGAGATTTCTGGCAGGTGCATGTATAGTAGAAGTAGGAAGTACTTGTTGATGAGTATTGCATTGTGCAAGATCCTGAGTAAACTTATCATCTTCTGAAGCTCGCTGTGAGGTCCCAAACTTTTTGACATTTTCTGAGTGACGACAACATAAATGCCCGACTTCTCAAAGACAGTAAGCTTTCATCAACGAGTCCAACTGGCTACATGAACTTGCAGCAAGATTTGCAAGATCTGACACAAACAACCCTTGTTCTGTCTTAGTCAGACCATTAAATTCAAAGAATGGTGTGTAGTTATTTTTCATCTTTATTTATTAATTATATTGCTTAAACTTTATTTTTTAAGTAGCTTCTCTGAGACTACTTTCGTACTTCCATCACGAAAAATAAGCTTAGTATGTTCTTCAAATCTCGCTGGTGATAACTTAATAACCCAAATGTGCAGATACTATTTTTAATATTTATGAATTAAACAAGGAGTTGTTCATTCTGAGTTTGGCCTATTGTTCTATAAGAAAGTAGCCTCTAAAATAATGACGCCCTTAGTAAGAGACCTTATCGGACTTGGAATAATAGCTTATTTTAATAAAATGTGAACAAACGTAGTGGTATATGCCTCCATAATCGTGAGCTTGCAAAAATGGCTACTTAATAAGGATGCTAGATAATACAGCAATCGAGAAAGTTCCTTAGGAAATATTAATAAAATGCATCCTCTGGAATGCTCAGGCATGGCCAAACTTTGAACAATAAAGATTCAATTCCTAGACATTATAGACTAATTATGTCAGAATAGCTTGCTCAGTTATTGCAGATAAATCGATATTGTTAAACTTTTTGAAAAGCAGCACTTGTATGATGAAGATACTTAAACTGAGGAGCTCCTCCCTGGGCTCCAAGAATCAAAGTGGAAAAGAGTATGAAGAACCATGATAATTTTACATCATGCTTTACGCCAAATAGTAATGGAGTATCTATCCTGCTAAGATTTCTCGTCCATTTACAGCAAAGTGCATAAAAATAACAACTTACTGTACAATCACCAGTAATGGAGAAAAACGAGTATGGAAATAAGTAACCCCCCCCAAATTGGCTGGAAAATTGCTAGTCTCAAATCTAAGAGGACCGTCTTTCATAAATTGCCTCTGAACAATCCTTGAGTGCTCTCAAAATAAGATTCCTTGGAGTCTGTCAAAGCATTCTCCAAAAAGACTTTGACATATCCTGGTGGACATAACTGACACAAAATAATTGGGATACTAATTATTAAAGACACAAAAATTAAACCTTCATTATTAGCTATATCACTTAGATGACTGGACCACTGCGGAGGTCTAGAGAATTCAAAACTAAAATGACAGGTTAGCCTACAGCATCTCTGCAATGCTGCAGGCTAGAAGAAATAGGCAGCCAAGCATAAAGATGTGGAGTCAATCGCTTCGGACTCGTTATGCTTGCTGTCTTGTCTTTCGACAATTTTGGTAAGTTGTCTGAAAATATATTATATGAAATATGCTGAGCTCGTCGAAAAGTTACTAGACTGCAAACAATTATAATAGGTCTGAAGTTGCTAGCCCCAGTTCAACATGCTTGGCTAGATGTCTTTACTAATCTGCAACATTACCTATGTGATGGTCTAGTCATTAAAAATGATACAATTAATCATAATAGTTTTATGTTGATGATAATGAGTCTACCAATTATTTCGAGAGAGCAGCTAGTTCAGAGATTAAGTTACAACTCCTCCAACTCATGCTTAAGATTGTCTGAAGCATGTCGATCAAGACTCCTTCATACTTAAAGCTTCATTTTGATAAAGTCTGATAACAGGGATATGTCAATCCATAGGAAAGGTCCATTAACTCGGGTCTTGTCATCTGCTACACATAAAATCTTTCTGGAAAACTAATACGAAGGTCATAAAAATGTAAGGCTTTTCGAAGGGCTTCAATGTTCCTAAATCAAGCACGTAGCCAAGCTTAAGCTAATAAAAATTCCTTTAATAAGGCTACAAATATTCGCATCCTTCTTGAACTTATTCCAGATGAATTCAAATGTTCAATTATAGATTGCGGTGGAAGCTGATCGTTTCAAAATTTCAAGACTTATCTTAACTTGCACTTTTAAAGCCATAATTTTTTAAAGATGGCTGGATATAGCAGGAAAGATTTCCCTCTGATATGCTTGAAAATTGTTTGATATGGACATCCCTTTTAGCTTTGTAGATGCTCATAGCTGAAGAACATGGACCAGGTAGTAAATGATGATAGCTAAATCAAAAAATCACCATCCTAGCATTTTTTAATTTGTCTATTCTTATAAATATTATGCCAATTTTGTATAATAAGAGAGGCCAGGAGATAGTCTGATCAATATTTAAGCTATCTATGAAGCTCTCTATCCTTTGAACTATGATCCTAGCAAAACCTTGCTCAATTGATTCTAGTTTTGGCCTATTCTCAATTAGTTAAAATTTACACATGTTGAAGACTTCTAAAGTAACACAAGGACTCCTAATAGGCTTTATCAGTCTCAAAGACTTTCTAGGAGGAGTGGATAAATTTTGAGCCTTTGCTCTAGAGTGCCTTAATGTGAGAAATTAAATGGCCCTATCTTAATTTCCCAAGTCAGTCAACGACAGGATTATTAAATAACCAATTATTAAATTAACAGGGGTTAAGAGGCTTTGAGAGTTCTATTTTAAGAAATCTCTCACTAAAATGCTTAGAAGCCACTCCTAGGTGAGCTGAGCCTTCTCAATTTGTTGGACGTGCCAAGTCTATAGCAAAGTTGTCAATATTATTCTCAATTCAAAGATGTCTATTATTAGCAAATAAGAGAATTTTAAGCGATCCTCTAACTTTACCAGAACTCTGAAAATTTACTCATCTCTTTGTTGTATCTCAAAGGCTTAAATCAATGACAAGTGTGGTCATGAATATTATTAGGCATCATTCATCAGGTATTTTTAATAATATTCCTATCTAAATATTATTATCAAATTATGAGCAAAAAGCAAGCTAAGACTGCGAGAACCAAGACTTGGAATTATAACCCAAATTCAAACTTAGTGGAGAATAAAGCATAAGTCTTACCAAGAAATTTGAAATAAAAGAGTAAAAATTATGAATATTTGTCAATCACTTTTGGCCTGCTACTAAATACTCAAGAATGTTTTATCTCTATTTCTCTCTTAATTCTCCTACAAGATCCCTACATGCATGAGATATAGTTCAGCACTTGAAAATTCACGGAATGGACGAGAGACATCTTTAGTTGGTGAACACAAATCTGAGGTTTAATTATGGTTCTATTAGTACCTAAAACTCAAGCTCCTTTAGTCAAAGAGTATGTTTAAGCTAGTTCCCTAATTTCAAACTTGCAGCTTTGGCAAGTTTCCTTTCTAAAATGCTTTTGAAATTTAAAGAGCTCCTCTTAGTTTACTTTATATATAAACTTTTTTATGATAAATTGCTTAACTAACTTTTATGCTTCCATTCGGAATATCTCCAAGTCTGCCAATTCAGCAAGTTTAGAGTTTAAGAGAGCTATTTGTCTCTGAAGACGGTCAAAGGGCCTGAACTTGAAGCAGGAGGACTTCTATAAGTATTTCAATATATTATGATGATGAATAAAGTTAGCACTCCCCACCATGATTTCCGATCAAATTTGTTCAGGAAGAAATTATGGGCAATCCTATCAAGCCTCCACAGATTTGGTATGCCATTTGTTTATCATCTCCTGTCTTATAGACGGAAAACCTTTCTAATACCATGTTGATTAAGCAGAGAGATTTTTCATTGCTAATGCATTAAATCCAACACATGAGATCCTGTTGAAGATGGTAGGAATAAGTTTTCAGTTAATTATAGCCATTGATCACTCTGAGATGCCCTAAACCTTCAGTTATAACTTCCTCATTTATTCAGACTACATTGAGGACAATGCGGACAATTCTATTGAGTCTCTTCATATTTGAGGATCTCAAATATTTTTAATAGGAATAAAAGTTTAGTGGTCTTTCTCTGCTTCTCCTAACTTGTTCTGTTGCTCTTGAGGCTATCAGTCATAAGAGTCATTTAATATTTCTAATTATGGCATAACGCATGTAGGGGCTTGAGTACAACGATTTGCCATGGCATACCAGATAAGGATGCTTTTGCAATACGAGTATATTAAATATCTGATTGGCTGAATTAACTTAGGCAACTTTTTACTCCAAGACTCAATTCTAACAAATGTTTATTCGAAGTATCCTTAAACATAAATAAGCAAATTCATACTCTCAGATGTGAGTTTTGATCTAGACCACAATTCGATTTTGCAGCCAATACTCTTGATGGCCCATAAAAGATGGCTAAAGGTATACCAAAGAAAAGTTGTCTAAACATGTCAGTATTTTAGGGCCTGTTTTCAACTTCATTTCTAGGAAGACCTAGCCATAGACTCTAAAGTGGAGGATAATGATATCCTATGCTCAATTCGTGCTTAAAAAATATTTAAGATCTTGCCATAAAAAGTATCCAAAATCTAGAGTCTAAGTTAACGGGCTTAGACCGAAACATATCCCTATCTTTTAAATGGATTACAACTAAACCTTGGAAGAAGAAGATATCATTTTAAGCACTAGATTTCCTTAGAAAGGAAACTGATGAGGCAAATAATCACACTAGCCAATGATTTATCATGCATCATTTCGATCCACTTGAAACGACTTGATGACTTTCATTGAAGAATAAACATTCAACTTCTTTGTGGAATAGATATGGCTCAATAAAGCCACACAAATGGACTAGTTTGAATAGAATATTGCATTCTGATTCAGATTACTTTTGATCATAAATAAATCCACAATCTCACAAAATAAGTGTTTCTCGTGCTTTTTCATGAAGATTCAAGCATTTCTTCTGTCTTCTACCATCAATTCTTATGTAGGAAAATGCTTAAGGCGATCATTAGGAGTAAGAACAACAAGCAGCAGTTTTATTAGCCTCAGTAGCTGTCACCTCAAACTTAAACTTCCAACTAAGACATGAAATTTATTTCCAAACAGTCAAATTATAGCTGTCTTTATCTCCCAGAGTGTTCTAGCTGATAACAACATGTGAGAAACCTTAATCTGAGACTTTTGGTAATTATCATGGACGCTTTCAAGACCCTAATCAGCTCGGAGCCACCTTAGATTTGAATATCCAGACATTATATTTAGTCCAAACATTGGCAATGATATAATTACTTAAGGGGTTTTGGGGTTTTGGGGTTTTGGGGTTTTGGGG